GAGCACTTAAGTAAATGAAATTATTACCTTCAAGTTAGCCAAAAAAAAAAATAAACAAAATGGTTGTTGCCAATTCTCACTACAAAATGAGGTTAAGATAGGAGGGCATTGAATTTTACAACTGTTTCAACCAAAATCTAATGGACAGAATCAACTAGTACTATCGAGAAATTAATATGGTTTTGCAAGATTCAGGATTAACCAGCTGAAGTGGTTGGTAAAAAAAGAAGCCATAATCACAATCGTTGAATAGATTTAGTTCTATAATTTAGGAAGCAGCGATAGTAACTAAAATAACCACTAAATGAACCAGATATTATAACATATACAGTGCAGGCAGTTTAGCAAGAGATGTCTGATGTTAGCAGTGTTAATTAAATAAAACAATATCTCTAATTAGAACAAAAGGAGAGTTGTGCATGATTAAGATGATTCACAACTCTATGCATTTTTTGCAATAACCGATGAAACATGTAAGAAATTTTTGAGGCTTACATATTTAAGCAATTCCTAATAGAAAAAGCAGATGTAGCATACCAATTCAAATAAAGAACATTTAATGAATACAGTTCCAGTTCATTAATATTATGGCTGAAAAGTTAACTAACCTTCAATTCTCACTATTTGCAAGAAGAAGTAATCTGTAAGTGTTTATCAAACAACATATCTGTTAATAAATTTGGTCTGTGCTAAGTTATCTTATCTTCATGAAAAGTAGAAGATGCTCATAATTGAAGATACATTAAAAGAGGGCACATCAAAACTTTAATATATGTATATATCAAGCTTTAAAATTAAATTCAATTAATGGATCAGAAAATCATTGTTGGTGTTAATAGTGATACAAAACTATTTATGAAAGCAACGGCTTATTTCCAAGTTATCCTTAACTTGTCTGATTACTTTTATAGTAAGCACAAAAAAATGCTGAATCTTGATTGTAGAAACATAAAAGATCGAGAGTGAGAATGTTTATTATTTAAATAAGAAAAATTTAATCACATACAGAATTAAGAGCTGAGGATCATGTCACCAATTTCTAAATGCAAGTAATCTTGGAAGTTAATTTATTAATTACCTAATTGTGAATTAATTCTAAGCAATAAATGATTATTATTATTTAAATTGGGCAAGTATCAGAATAGGTTTGCCCTTCGTTAATACAAGCCAGCAACATATTTCCAAATTATTAAATATAGGAACATTTAGACACACGTTAATTTTAACAAGTAATAGAATTTGTGTGTATTGATAAATTTTATTAGTAGACACTTAAAACTGCTATTTCATTACGCCTATGAAAATTAGAAGCATAAAGGGATTCCCAAGTGCAACAGAAAAATGTACTCATGGAATATATGAGAGAGAATATGAACATTGACTCCAAACAAAATAATTAACTGAATTCATTCTATGTGATAGAAGCGTTGGAATTTCGTCAAAGCAAATATCATTGCAAATAAGCATATTAAGCTTAGGAATCACTTTGCTTGTAAAATCTACTACAAATTTTATATCATAATGAAGAAGCAGCATACTTAACATTATTTGGACATCCATTTTAGAAAGTAGGTAATGTTGATTGTAAACCGATGACAAGCCTACCTTGATGAGATAGCATTAAAACAAAAACCGCCTACGCTATTTCTACATGCAGTGATGTTGCTGAAAACTCTCAGAAGCCAACAGGATTTTCGAAGATTAAATAAAAATCTAATGAATGAAATAAATAGTTAATGCGACTGCAAGATACTAGAACTTCCTGCTTTTGAGAAAAAACCATAAAATTGGCAAGCAACTTAATACTATTATTGCACAGTAATACTCTAACAAAAAAATGACTAAATTATTATATATATCAAATTTTAGGGAAATAAAGAAGAGATTTGTGAAAATGGTTGTCTTTTTTTTTAGCAGTTCTTACTAAATGTCTTTCAAGTTGAAGACTAGAGCCTTAAATTTATCCTTAGAGCCATCCATCTACATAGAATCCGCTTTAGATGGAGCTAAAGTTGTAACCACAACATGGAACAAATTCTAAATATAAGGTACTGGTGCTAATAACGGATAATATTTATAAATAGGTAAAATTAGAGTACTATTCAAATGTACATGAATAGGTTTCACACATGTAACAGTTGTAATCATTTTGTTTTACAACCACAATGATTGTAAGCTGAACATTAAATCCTTTTTCTCTAGACACAATTTGAGTCTGAACTGCAGATTGCTGGTCCATTTCTAGGCTGACTTGGCCAGGCAAGAACTGAGTAAGTGAAATAAATATAATAAAGTGCTTTATCATACATCATTTTATTATAAGAGAAAAAGGGGCACATTAAATAGAAGTTGCAGAATTGTGTTAGATCCATCAAATTTGCATAATGTGTTAATCAAATGTTAGGCATATTTTGGAACTTAATGCTATTTATTATTATTAGATTAAAGAGATTAAGTATCATGTTAAATTTTACTAAAATTGCCACAAGTAATTCAAGAAAAAGAGCCAAGCCTCAAATTTATCCAATTATACTCTTTACAAGAAGAATTTAAAGATAACAAATTTTAAAAGCGAACCATTGTGGCATCTTAAGTTATTGACTTCCGAATTAGAATTTACAGCACAATTCGAACAACTTGCATCTGAATATCAATATATTTAGCATGGATTTAGTTTTGTATATGTGGCTATGCAATATTGTCGGGATTCAGCATGTACGATTTAGATAGCTCAATTTTTGTATCTTTCACAAATAAGGCTAGTAATAAAGGTGGGACTGAACTATAAAGTTTTGCAATCTCCTATAACATAGTGATATTTCTTGATAGAGTTAAGGCCAATGCAACAATTTCTAACAAAATTATAATAACAGTTAATAGAATGTGTGACATGCCTTCTGTTACTTAGCTGAAGATTTCCCAATTAATTTGGAGCAACACAACAGAAGGCAAGTTCAACATATACATGAAACCATTTATTGAGGCTTAAATAAAGTACAAACACCAAGATATTGGGAGCATCAAATTTAATTTTTAGCGGGTGCAGTTGAATATTATATTAAAATTATCTCAATGTATGTGATAAAAGGAATCTTGATTGAAATAAACCTATTTTTAATATATTTAAGCTTAATTCAATAAGGTCTCAGAAAATACAAATACAACTCATAAATTGAATATCTTCATGCAGATCTTGATGTATAAGGGGTAAACCAATGCTTAAATATATAATATTCTTAGGTCTGATTATTCAAAGAGTCCTCATAAAACCCAACCTAATGAATATAGAGAAGAAATGGTTAGAAAAATTATAAAAAATTTTGTAGAGCACAGGAAGATTCGTTTACTTGCATAAGTATGGGATCTTCTTAAGTTGTTTACTCGATTATTTTGAACCACAAAAAAAAAAAA